CTTACAACCGAAGACAAGTAACAATTGAAAAAAAAAAACGCTGAATCCAAATTTGATTCATTTTCGTAAATTACCATTCCTTTATATTAATATAATTACTGTTTAAATGTTATGTGAATTAGATTTGAATGAATGCTTTGGAAAGGTTGGCTAATGTTACCCTCTACCGGAGCATTATTGATTTTCCATTAAATATTCACAGATAATTATTTATCTATCTTATTGTGTGCACCTTTATGTGAAATGAGAACTGTATCATGAATTAGCCAGAGGAATATCTGTGAAAATAAAGTGAAAGTCAATCTGTGACCCTGGCAGAGGGTAGACTACAACTGTGAATGTCTTGATTTGGATATAGTTGTTTTTCATCTTGAAAGTCAAACATATCTGTTAACATCTTTCGACAATTATATTTGAATAGTGGTCTCAAGAGTTTTAATTCCTAAACAAGTTTGTAATTTTTTGCCCCACTCCTGCGACTGCGGCTCCTGCTGCTCCTCCGACAGTCGCAACAGCTGCGGTTGCTGCCGACTGAAGCAACGCCACGAGACTGCCCGCCGCCACGCCTCCGCCATTTGCAATCGCTGCACTGTTCATCATTGGGGCGTCCACGAATACGCCGCTGGTGAATCCCACGACTGTTAGAGCGACTGGGGCTAAAGCAACAGCTCCTACCGCGCCGATGACACCTCCGACTATCAGGGGGGTACTTGAACTACGTCGTGGACCTGAGAAGAAAGATTCATGAATCATTTAAAATTTGTAATGAATAAAACATTAATTTATTAATAATCAAATAAGAGGTCAATTATAATAAAAATAATTTAGCTAATTAATCAGATAAGCAACAAATAATAAGAATTGAGTTAATTCTTAAATTTTAGAATTTAGCCGTCATGTTGCAGGTAAAGCCTGTCTGAGTGCTTGTTAGCTTTACATTGAATCAGCTCATAGGTTAAAATGAAGCTTTTGCGGACACAAATGTGGTTCACTAGACAGCAAAGCTGACAAATATACACTTAACAGAAACCAGAATAATTACCGTAAATGTAAGCCGGTCATGCTGATTTTGAAAGCAACCTGCATTTTTACTAAACAAAGCCACTCAGTAAAGTAAAACAAAAATGCGGTATTGAAGTTATGGGGCGAATGTCATTAAAATAGTTAAAATGCAAAATAATCACAGCAATTTTAATCATCATGGCGATTTTTGAAAGCGACTTGCCTCTTTACCTAACAAAGCCACTCAGTAAATTTAAAGTAAAACAAAAATACAGTTTGGCGGTTCTGGGGCTAAAGAAGAAATTACCGTTCATGTAAACCGATCATGCCGAATTTCGAAAGCAAACTGCCTCTTTACCAAACAAAGCTAAACAAAGCCACTCAGTAAATATAAAGCTAATTAACTGCTCTATAAAGAAGATTATTATAATGTTGAGGACGTTACACTTTTAGGAGATAAATTAAAGAACAAAACCAGTGATGACTGAATTTTCGAAGTGAGTAAAAAGTTACCACAGCTAGACGTTTTGCAATTGTGACAGTAACGTATGTTCCTTTTTTGGGTAAGACGATGCGTTTTTTTTTTTTTTTATATATATTAAATTCGTGGTTCTAGGAGAGTGAAACTTTGATACAAACTTCTTCATGTGGGACCCTAAAATAATCGTAGTTTGTAATCTGTGCATTGAATATTTTTGAGAGCATACCTTTGACCTCTACTGGTATATTGGGTTTTGGTGCTACATGTATATAATCCCATTTAAAATGAGAACATACCTATGGCCTGTTGTAAGGCTTCCACCCACAGCCCTCTCTCTTCTGCCGAATCCGCCTCCAGTTCATATGTCACTCCTCCAGCAGTTACTTCAAATCTTTGTAGATTTTGACCCTGGCATTCGTGATTTCTATTATGTCTTCGGGTGCATCATTCTCATTTTGCCCTCTGTATTTTTTAAGTAATTACTAGTAGAGGTGATTAATAAATGCACTGTCACCCATACACAGCCCGGGAGCCACCGGTCTGCCGCTAGGTGGCTTTTAAACAAACCGGAAGTCTTACACTTTTGAATCGGCTAAAATTTTAGAAATTTGTAGGGTGTCAGAAACGATGCAATATCTCGGCTATGAACGTACTCAGGGACACATTACGTACATTGACATATTGAGAAATAAATTTCGAATAATGTGAGATGCACCACGAGTTGATCTAGAGCCTATTTAGTGTTAAAAAAATAGTTTGAAATCGAAAATTTACGAAAGCTATAACGGAAGTTCATCTTTAACTGTGATCTTTGTATCTATAGAGGCCTCCGCACAACTTTTAATTACCAGTAATTTGTAGCAAATTTATTCAGCTTTCTGTCAATGTAAGCATGTAAAGAACTTTGCCTTAAGCTGTGAATGGCACAAATCAATTCACGGCCATGTCAGCCTGAAAACACTCACTTACGATATCCGCATATAAGCCTCGCTTTGACTAAGTGCTTTCTCATGAGCTTCAGTCTCGTTTTAGTTTCTCCTTCACACAGTATTACTTATATAGAGCAATTGAGTATTGGGGACAAAGAAAATAATTTTTTTTCTTGGCACTTACCACGGTGCTAATACAAATGAATTTTAACATTTTTTTCATTGTAAATAAACCTTTTTATTACATGAGGCCAACTGATGAGGGTATTCCTTTCATTAAATATGAAAAATAACAAATGAAAGACAATTTACATTTAATCACATTGTTATATTTTATTTTAATTTTACATAAAATTCAACTAGTCTGAAACATTTTACCAGTAGGTGATAATTTAATGCTACCTTATTTGATTGGTACACATTTATATATATTTAACCATCTAACACACAATTCCCCTTTACAAAGTGGACCAGTTTAATTTTTACAAATAATGTAATTTCATAAATTTTCCCAAAGTTGTCATATTAATTTTCTTTCACTGATATCAGGTACCAATCCATATTTGCATTAGAATAAACTTGTTTTACTTGTATTCTGATAAGTAGATATTATCTATAAGCTACACATATATAAAAAAAACCTGCACAGTAAAAATAAAACAATGTATTGTTAACTTAGTTGCACATACACTTTTAACTAACTTCATGTGGTTAAAACCTAAAATGATTTCACAAACTGCATTTCTATATACTGATAACCAATAACTATTAATATAAGCAACAGCACAGCTCAAAAATATATTTTTGCATCCCTTAGAAGTATCCCAGAGGTGTTCATTGCCACACAGCATTTGGAAATGATGGGTGCTTTTGTTATGATAATTGCAGGTCAAGGCACAGCAAAAGGAATAATCCTGGTCCCATTCATGCTATTCAAGCCTAGAAAAAATAATAGAGTTTTCAATAGAATGTCATTAAAAAAATTCTACATTTATCAATTGCTCACACACATACACACTGAAATTAATAATAATTTATTGCAATCTTTGTAATAGGTAAACTGTAACAATCAATCTTAAACAGCACTATATTTACAATCAATCTTTACCTTAAACTGCGCTATTTATACTTAATTCATAACAGTAATTATAAATAAAAATTATTTGAAACTGAACTTTGGGCAAAGTTGCACACCCATCATCAATTAAAAACCCAGTCTGAATCAAGGCATGAAAATATTAGAAAACACATGCAATTCAGAGCACCACATCACTATCATATGCCCTCATCATTGAAGAGCATGTTTCATTTAATGTACATACACACATACATACATATATTATTCACCTTTTTTAAACTTGCATTTTTATGACATTCTTCTCCTCAAAACCCCCAACCAATGCAATAAAACTTATTTTGTGTTTACATTTTTTTTTTTTCTAAAAAATTAACACAATATATATTTAACCCCCCGCCCCAAGCAAAAAAGAAAACATGTTTAAAGACATAATTTAAGATTCATATCTTTTTAAACATGCCTATGGTTAGTGTACAATACTGAATCTTTCACAACTACTGGTACCAATGCACCCCCCCCTTCCCACCGCTTTGCAAACAATTAAGTACCGGTACACCACCATATGTACATACGTATACGTGTATGCAGGTTGGATGACAATCTCATTTTGCAATCCACTTCATCTTTTTCACATTAAAACACGAAGAAATTGCATGAAAAGCCAAGATTCAAACATTTCACTTATACGGTGACAATCATTCCATACATGAGACCAGAACGCCACTGCCATCACCCGATCAACTAAATGATAGGTACCCGGCACGGTGAATATACAGCTTGTTGGAAATGTTGAAATTCTACAAATAACAGGCCATCGCACATCTTAAAAATTTTATATGTTCAAAAAATATTGCCAGACTATGAAAAAACAGGAACAGATAAAGAAAAAAACCCTTAAGCTGCATTTGGCACAGTTCAAAAGTCAATGCTTACAATGACGTTTTGTGTGCGGCCATTTTGCTATACGCCAGTAACTTTAGAGAATACTCATTGAAATCGATACACGAACACTTCTTCGGTGTATAAAATGTAACTTAAGCATATACTGTATTGTCCTGTCAAATTCATTAGTATTTAAATCAACTGTTCATTGCACAAACACATGTACAACTTACCTGTCTCTATGCCTTCGTCTCCCGCCAAATTTTCTTTGGGCTACCACTCCACGTTTTGAAAACGAGGCCAAATCTAATATTTTCCAAATTAACCGTCAAATGAGCCGGTGGCTCCCGGGCTGACAGTATATGCCAGAGCGATTCAAGTGTCAGCAAGACACACATCATAAGATACAAGTTGAAATACTATATTTATGGCAAATAGAACTCACCTTGGAATTTTCTCAAAATATTTACACACCACAGGGCTAGACAAACTGTTTTCAGGCTTTCACCCTGCAGGGCAAGTCTGAAAAGTCTCTCTCTTTCTCTCTTTTTGGTTGAAAGGCGAGAAAAATAGCATTTTCTCACCTTTCAACCAAAAAGAGAGAAAGAGAGAGAAAGAGCCTACTCACCTCTGATGTCTATAGTATTTCAGTTTACAAGGTTCAAGTTCAAACCATCGCTCAAGCCAGACATTCCCATCTTTAATGCGAAGCCTGCCAGTGCATAGTAGCCGTGGCATAGCTAATATTTTATGTTCCCTCTAAGATCTCAGGATTTCGCACTGACCAGGTAGTGGAGAAAGTGGAATGCCAGCAACGAATCTCGCACGGTCGACGTTGGTCGACGTTTGTCACGCGTCTCCCCTTGGATTCTCAGACGACCGCATGAAGTGATGATGAGGATAGACCCAATATAGCGCGCGTGCGTTGCGTTTACTTTGAAGGTCGTATATAAACAGGTCATCGCTAATGACGCTATATATAGTCAATGGCATGACATGTGTTGCAAATTCAATAAATATATTTTTCATTCAATTTAATTTTTTGTTTTTCAATGTTTCACATTTTCATGCAATAGTCTTTTCTTTTTTTGATTCAATGTTGTCTCATATTTCTTGCAGTATTTTTCATTCAATGTTGTTTCATTTTTTTATGCAATATTTTTTTTTCATTCGATGATATTTCAAATTTTCATTCAATATTCTTTTTTTTTTCATTTAGTGTTGTTTCAAATTTTCATTCAATGTTGTTTCATTTTTTTATGCAATAATTTTTTTCATTC